TGTACTCACCGGAGGGACACAGAGAGAAAGCAAGAAATCGCCCCTTGAAGGATGGCCATATCACAGTCCCTTCTCCTTCAATCTTTTCTTGGGATTATGGGCATGCACACACATGCACCCGATGTGAGTTTTAAGCTACTGGGTCCGGGACTCAAACTGCGGTCAACTACATGGGAGTCCAGCAATGTAACCCTTAGCCCATCTGCTGGTTCCTCAAAATTCAATTTTTTTAAGCCACCTCTACTTTGGTTTTCTGTTATCTGTAGCAAGTTTTATAAGACTACCACACTGTCAGCACAATCACAACACTAACTACCATCAACACCAAAGACTCTCTTAATGGTCTAAGACATCTAAGGAAAGGATCTCTTTTCTGTAACACCTGCCTCCCTCAACAACCAAATATAGATTTTACTCAGCACCATGGCACCACGCCAGGCCTAACATGAAGCACACAAAATGGACAGCGCTTGCCCATGAAAAACTGCCAGTTTACCAGAAACATAGATAAATGGAGAAAATATACCATTGCTTCTAAATCAGAGAAATATTTTCTTCACATATAAACTAGTACCATCAAAAAAAATTTTTTTGGTAGAGGGCATATGCCCTCATAGGAAAAAAACTGAGAGAAGGAAAGAGAAAGCACCCCCCCCCCATGGGGGATGGCCATGCCACAATCCCCTCTTCTCCATTTCTCTCCTCGGCATCTTAGACACACATGCCCATGTTCCCAGTGTGTTTTTCAAGCTGCCAAGTCCAGGACTCAAACCATGGGGTCAATCACACAGGATCTAGCTCCCTGAACCACCAGGCCATGGGCCGGCCCCCTGGCCCAGAGTTTCGTAAACTTATCTCACAGTTTCACATCTGTGTGCTTTTGCGTGAGTTCTAATCATATGGTTCAAAACGTTTCACCAGTCTTATACATTTACATCCTATTTTAAGAAGAGGCAACTGAAGTGCTAAGTCTTTGAAGAGACCTTAGTTGTTTATGAGAAACAGTAGAAGAGAAATATTTGAGCCTAAGAAAGTCACTCCCCGACAAAATTTACACTGGCTCTGCTTTGTATCCAAATACTACCTAGCTTCTTGTCTCTCTGGAAGGAAAAAAAAGACAAATCAGCGTGGCACAAATCAGTCCGATATTTATTATGACTCTATCTGTTCAGGACCATGTTACGCCTGCAAATAGACTCACATTCTGATTCCAGACTCAACGTCAAACAAAAAGAAAGCACAACAAGAAACAGAGGATGTCAAGCCTTCTCTAGAACCATGGCTTGACTTTTCTGAGCTCTACCCCACTTTCTTTTCAGCCCAGAGAACACGAGTTCGTTCTCACTCCAGGTGACACCCAGCTCCCCCTTGGTGTCAACCTCCCACCACTTTCACAAAGCTTTCCTGACTTTTCTAGCCCACATTAATTTTTCTCTTTTCTGTATTCTTATGAAATTTCTTGTCTGTATAATTAATTTTGGCATTAAATCAGAAGGCCTTATATTATTATTCTTGTCTTGAGAGTTTGTCTTATCTTTCCCAAAGCGCCTGTATGATTCTTAAAGATCGCGTTTTGAATCTCTCACCTGATACAGTACTGAGCATACAGTAGGTGCTTAATAGGCACTGAGGAACTGAATTTTCCCCATTCTGGTAGGTCTTCATGTTCTCTTTGCCGACACTGGCATTTGCTAACATCTCAAGGTCGACTACAATACATTCACCCAAGAGCAGAGCTATCAGAAGAGGCGCCCAGCGGCATGTCTGACACCAAGCAGGCCAGCCAGCAGGTCCCGGGGTGAGGATCTATGAGCAAGGGCACCCTGGGGTAGTTTCAGGTAAGGTACCCTACCCTGAGACAGGGGCATTCAGGCCTGAGCCCAGGGAAGCCCATTTTCTAGTCTTGGGTTCTGAAATGGAATGTCCTTTTAAAGCCAAGAAATGGGAAAGAAAGGGCTGCCAGTATCTCCACGTAAAACGGCAGGAACACACGTGAATGGAGGCCATAAATCCTGCCCTGACGCAGACAATGCTTCAGTGATAAGCATGCAGATTGCACACCTAGTTCAGAAACTCCCCTGAGTTTGCTTGTAATTAAGGGGGTTAGAAAGGTAAAAAAAATATATAAACCCAATTAATCATTTAAATATTTAAAGTCAGATTTTTCCCTCACTCCAGGATTAGTATATTTCATAACGCCAGCAGCAGACAGCCCTGGTTTTTACTGGGGTTCATTTTAGAGCATGTTTAAACTAGTCAGATTGAGTGATGCTTCCAGCAACTAATCGCATGTCAAATAAAAGATATTTTATGTAATAAATTACCGCTACAAGTAATTCAAATGTCATTTATCAGTTTTATTATCAGTCAGGCAAAGTCTTGTTTCTCTATATTAATCAAAATCAAGCTTTCCTTTCTTTTTTTTTTTTTTTTTTGGAGGCAGTTTTGACACCTCTTGGCAAAAGTACAGAAGTGAAGAGGTAGAGTCACCCCCGGAGCTGAAAAGAGCAAAGTAACGGTACAAGAAGAATGAAACTCAATGGTGACAAGTAAAAACTTCAGGTATTTCAAATTACCATTACCACTGTTTTTACACTAGTGTCAAAGCAGGAAGAAATCTGTCTCTAAGATGATGTATTTTATTTTTAGGGCTGGGAGACTTTTAAAAATATTTCTACCTACATACCTAAACGTGTGGTGCTTTTTCTCAGAGCGATCTGGACATCAGAATGATTTAATGACTGAACTGCCTCCCCCACTGCCCCACGCAGTGCTCTTTTGCCTTTTTCAGAAAGACTAACAGTTTAACCCTTTGTGCCTACGGAAAGTAGGCAGACGCGTGACATTTTAGGTCAACTCCATGACCAACCAGAACAATTTGTTTTGAGCAAGAAGTTTCCAAGTAGTCCAGAGACCTGTTTGGTATTTTGTTTCTCTAAATTAATCAAAATCAAGCTTTCTTTTTTTTTTTTTTTTTTTTTTGGAGCAGTTTTGACACCTCTTGGCAAAAGTACAGAAGTGAAGAGGTAGAGTCACCCCCGGAGCTGAAAAGAGCAAAGTAACGGTACAAGAAGAATGAAACTCAATGGTGACAAGTAAAAACTTCAGGTATTTCAAATTACCATTACCACTGTTTTTACACTAGTGTCAAAGCAGGAAGAAATCTGTCTCTAAGATGATGTATTTTATTTTTAGGGCTGGGAGACTTTTAAAAATATTTCTACCTACATACCTAAACGTGTGGTGCTTTTTCTCAGAGCGATCTGGACATCAGAATGATTTAATGACTGAACTGCCTCCCCCACTGCCCCACGCAGTGCTCTTTTGCCTTTTTCAGAAAGACTAACAGTTTAACCCTTTGTGCCTACGGAAAGTAGGCAGACGCGTGACATTTTAGGTCAACTCCATGACCAACCAGAACAATTTGTTTTGAGCAAGAAGTTTCCAAGTAGTCCAGAGACCTGTTTGGTATTAAGCCATAGGAGGAAACAGCTGGAATAGAACAGATGTGCATCTTAGAAAATTCTGTACCCCAGCTGCCACTGCCTATCCTCAACAAATCCCATTAAACGGCTAGGCCCAGGGACACAACTAAAGAAAAGTGTGGAGACTTAGCCTTTAGTTAAAAAGAAACACACAAAGGAGGTTGGTTTAAGACCCAAAGCAGACACAATGAATTAGAAAATGCTGGCCAGGACAAAGAAATTGAGTCCCAAGCTGACACATGGTGGGTACACATCCCGTAGCCCAAATACCAGACCCACCACGGCAGCTGTGCTCCTCTGGCTCTGGAGGTCGCCATGCCAGCAGGTGGGTCAGGCAAGGCGCTTCAGTAGACACACACATGTGTGCATGCGTCCTGGTTTCACTTGTTCCGTCTTTGCAAAAGAAGGCTCTACCTACATGAGATCTGTGGCACTCGAAGCAGATTAGAACCCACTGCTGGGCCCCTCGGCCAGTTATAGGGAAAAGAAGGCCTTGCCCACTCTGCTGACTGGTGAGCACACTGCCTGGCTAAGGCTGAGCTGCATGAGAACAATGGCGAGGTGGGAGAGAGAAGGTAGCTTCAGACCACGTGTTGGGGGATCTCAAAATGAATCTGTCATTTTAAAGTATGCCTTTTAAAAATCTGATGTCTAGCACTATTTTAACTCATTTATTGGGAAAAAAAAATCAACCTCTGAGCTTGACAATTAAAATGAAGAACAATTATTTTAAAAAAGGCATTTTGAAAGATAATAGATCCAGGCTGAGTTATGTTAAGGAAAAAATTTGGGCTATTTTCCATAGTTTTGGCATCAATTTTAATTTTTTTAGGCTTTTTATAAGTGACTTAAAGAAGGGATTCTGGCTGTATTTGAAGGGTGTACACTTATTACTAGGTTGAAGAACCTTTATTCCTACAGTAGCTTTAATTTAAAAACAACAAAAAGCCCTCCTGGGTCGTGTAATAATTAAAAGCGACATTCAAAAAGGACCTTTATTTTAATCTGAAATTCTCTAACAGACTGCCAGTACACGAATATACAGGTATAGCCAGGACAAGGGAGGAAGGGGAGGAAGGCAGGCCAAACTTATGTATTAACTTTTCAAAATAAAATGAGGAGGTAAGTTATTTCAGGGAGCAAATGAGAATGCACTCATAACCCAGATGCCATGTTGTTATTCGTGAAAGAGCAACATTCAAAAGCACTGGAATAAGAAAATGGAAACAGAACCAATAAACAGTTGTACAGTTTCTTGCATGTAACCAAAAGACTTGAAAGAGCACAACACACTCATTTATTCCGGTCCATGGTCTCTTCTTAAGCCTTTGTCACACACTTAAAGTTTGTCTAAAAGGATTTGTGGGTGTCATCTTCTCTTGGAAAAACCCAAGAGCCCTCTACTACTCCCAGTTTCTCCTGGTTGGCCGAGTCTGGGAGATGCGAAACATGCTCTTTGGACCGAGTCCTGAATCCCAATCAAGGTTAAAGCCAGAGTTTGAGCGAGTGACTTACTGTATGGCTGAGAAGTGAGGTGAGGGGGCTGGACAGGAACCACCTGTGTGGCTGGGCCCAGGGACGAAGGCTCGTCCGCAGCAGTGCCCGACTGCTGGAAAGCCAAATCAATCTCTTCATCTGTCAGGCCTGGAGAGAAGACATAATTGCAGGTGAGTACCTATCGCCAATGTCCATGGCTGCCACAGAATCTTCGTTGGGAAAAGACCCTTACAGCCACAGAATGACTAGCATCCTGGGAAGCTGCCTCTCTGATTTCGGATTCTCCAGAACCTCTCTCAGTTGCAATTTAACCTTAAGCGACAGAATATTAGCCTCAACACTGCTTCCAAATGTGGCTCATTCAATTTCCTTAATTTATCCTTGAGTTTATTGCTGCTTTTGAAGTTGCTCCGTACTGCAATTCTCCATTCTTCCCCCGAAAACAGATACCATCAACTGCAAATGTGGCTCATTTTAATCTGTAATGGTGTTAAAAAAAGAGGGGAAAAAACTAACAATAATGCATGAAAACAGACAGGGAAACAAAAAACTAATTATTGGGTGAGACGACTAATTAGTCTAGATCGTTTCCGAAGACGGGAATAATTTGCTTTATTTTATGACAAATGCAGAAATAAAAAGAAAAATCAGGACTGACTGTGATTAGTATGAATGGGATATAGAATGTAAAGAAGAAAATAAAACAAGAAAACAGATCAAAACAAGGCCAGGCCCAAACTTTCAGATGATTATTACTCTAGCCTATCACAGGCTGCCTATATCGCCTTTGGCTAGTTTTTCTTCTCCCTTTTTTTTTTTTCTTTTTTTTTTAATCCTCCCAACACTCTGAACCACACTGCACACGGGACATCAGGAAATAGCAGGGCGCCATCTGCAGTGGATACATGTGGAGAGGATTTGCCCATGGAGGAATAAAAGCCAAAGGAGAACTCCATGAAGACCACACGTCCAGTGGGCAGACAGCTGGGAAATCTTCAACGGGTCTGAGCTGGACTGGGGACATGCCTCTTGGGCAGAGGACGAGGTCACCAACCAACCCAAAGAATAGGAAGCAAGTGTGGTGTACAGGTATGAGAAAAACTTTCCCACAGGGCCGACTCGGGAAGTAACTGCAGATACAAAAACGCTCCAGCCACTGAGAGTGGAAATGGCAGGTGGGAGGTCACTGCTAGTCTGCAAAAGACCACTCGGCCCAGGGCAGCCTGTGCTGTTCCGGGAATCCCAATATCCAGTCGAGCCGCAACACAGAGCTTTTAAACTAGAGCCGAGAGCTTTTCCACATCTGGTCGGCAGCTCTCCATTAGAGGCCCACAGCATGGTATACTTGCCCCTGGGGGTAGATGAAGTACAAGGAGGTTCTGAGGATCAGCATCTTCAAAAGCATGGTGCCTCCTACTCTGTGCCTAGGGGCTAATAGATGGTGCACATTAATGCTTTAAAGCTCTGCCCTGCACCATATTGGCATGAGAGTTGACAGCAACCATCCCTTAAACTTCTCATGTCCTACCGCAACCGGTCAAGGGAGAATGCCTGAACTATTCTAAATGGCCTGGGCCCTTTTCTCTCCGCTCTTAGCTGAGCAGGTGAGACCTGTCCCCATTTGAAACTGCAGCTCTTCTCTCTTTCCCCTGGAGATGGCCAGGCCACGCCACTGGGAAGTCAGAGGTACTGCTGGGTTGCCCTTGAAAGCATCATGCTCTCAACAGATTGGTGCGGCTGAGGAGAAAGCTTCCAGGATTCAGAGTATAATTCATTAGCATTTACCACCTTCCAAATACAAAGCTAAAGTTGAGCAGAGCGGGGCTAGACAGGAGATGTTCCTCTTCCAGCTTGCTGCAGAGAGATTGCTTTCCCTATCATCTCACCTCCCAACAATAACAGGGACGGGTCAAACCCGTAAGCCAGGCAAAAGTGGAGAGCACGTCTCCCCGAGGGTGTGCCTCTGGGGCTCTCGCCTATGTAGTGAGACTGATCGTTTCTCACTAAACAGGAAGGGGGAAGCCCTGGTAGGAAAGTCATTGTTTTAACCAGTTCATAATCAGTCACTAGAGCAGTAAGGGGCATGTGCCATGTCAGCACAGGCTGATGGTCACTGGAACACTGTGGGATTTTATGAACCCGGTGGTTCGTGTGCCTTGTCAGCCGCTGGCTGCAAATGAGGATAATTTTCCCAAAAGGAGCATTCAGTTGCATTCTCATTTTCCCTTTTGGCTCTTTCAAATATAAACAAGTACGATAATGTTTAACGCTGGGGAAATATACAGTAAGTTACAGGCTGCGCTGCGGCCCTGCAAGCTGGAGCTGGTTAAAGGGACAGGACTCCCAGCCCACTGTTGTGCCCTCTGGCCCTGAGCTTCTTAGGAAGCCTATTTTCCTAATAAAACACAGTCTTTTCATTATCGCAGCCGAGCGCACTCGTGAAGCCACGGTTTAAAGGGCATCAGCACTTCCTTCCTAGCTCTTATTTTTCAGAGACTTATCATTCGATTCTCTAAATTTACATTGGCTGGAATCCTGGCATCTCTAGTTGGGAGAGGCAGGGTTTTTATTTAGTTACAATAAATGGGTAATTTTTCTTCTTTAGAAAAGGTAAACCTTTTTACAATCTCACTGAATAAGATGATTTCAGAGCTGGACCATTATCCCAGTCATTTAACAGAAAGGAACAAAATAAAACAAAACCCCTGAGACTCAAGAGGGTGGAAACTAGATACTCCCTCACACTGTTTTTTGAGAACAGTACGGCCACCCATGTCCCAAGACTCTCCGGTCTCCAGCCTGATAACTGTCCACTATACCACAGGGTTACAAAACATCAAGGTGACACATTCAGAACTTAAGTATTTGATCTTGTTAAAGAGGTTTAGAGAAGGATTACATTTTTCTTCTCCCACCCTCACTGAAGGCCCCCAACATCAATGAATACCATTTGGGGGCTATGCTGAAACAACACAGAAACTTAACCCCTGGGTCCTATCGGCAAATGACAGTTGGACTACTCATTGAACACCAGAGTGACAAAGGTAGAGTGTCCTCATCCTTGCCTTGTCCTCCCCCCAAATCAAATATAAACGCTGCTCAGACTGGTACCTACATTTCCCTGTGTGTCCTCCTTCTCTGGAGCATTCCCAACTCAGGCAGGGCTGACCAGAATCAGGGCTGTATTTATAGGACTAAACTGATTGCTCTGGAGACTGAGCAGGGGCCACTCACCTCTTCCTGGATCACCACCAGTTACCTAGCCAGTCACCTGCCCCTGCTGTTGAGATGACCCTGCCTTTAAGGATAAGGAGTTGCCTAGGACCCACGTGTAAGACCTTCAGGTGCCTTCATCCCATCTTCCTCACCCATCCACCGAGATAAACAGTGCAGATCTTAGACTGAGACCTTGCAGAATCCAAAAGGTTAAAAGGAATAATAAAGGAAACTGCCAATTGTAAGTGAATTATATTTGGCTCTGAAAGCTGAGGCACAGGCTATATTATAAAAGGCATCTCTTTGCGTTGTTTACCATCACCCTGACTAATGCAGACCTTTTTTTTTTTTCTCGCCTATGTAGTGAGACTGATCGTTTCTCACTAAACAGGAAGGGGGAAGCCCTGGTAGGAAAGTCATTGTTTTAACCAGTTCATAATCAGTCACTAGAGCAGTAAGGGGCATGTGCCATGTCAGCACAGGCTGATGGTCACTGGAACACTGTGGGATTTTATGAACCCGGTGGTTCGTGTGCCTTGTCAGCCGCTGGCTGCAAATGAGGATAATTTTCCCAAAAGGAGCATTCAGTTGCATTCTCATTTTCCCTTTTGGCTCTTTCAAATATAAACAAGTACGATAATGTTTAACGCTGGGGAAATATACAGTAAGTTACAGGCTGCGCTGCGGCCCTGCAAGCTGGAGCTGGTTAAAGGGACAGGACTCCCAGCCCACTGTTGTGCCCTCTGGCCCTGAGCTTCTTAGGAAGCCTATTTTCCTAATAAAACACAGTCTTTTCATTATCGCAGCCGAGCGCACTCGTGAAGCCACGGTTTAAAGGGCATCAGCACTTCCTTCCTAGCTCTTATTTTTCAGAGACTTATCATTCGATTCTCTAAATTTACATTGGCTGGAATCCTGGCATCTCTAGTTGGGAGAGGCAGGGTTTTTATTTAGTTACAATAAATGGGTAATTTTTCTTCTTTAGAAAAGGTAAACCTTTTTACAATCTCACTGAATAAGATGATTTCAGAGCTGGACCATTATCCCAGTCATTTAACAGAAAGGAACAAAATAAAACAAAACCCCTGAGACTCAAGAGGGTGGAAACTAGATACTCCCTCACACTGTTTTTTGAGAACAGTACGGCCACCCATGTCCCAAGACTCTCCGGTCTCCAGCCTGATAACTGTCCACTATACCACAGGGTTACAAAACATCAAGGTGACACATTCAGAACTTACGACTTAAGTCTTTGATCTTGTTAAAGAGGTTTAGAGAAGGATTACATTTTTCTTCTCCCACCCTCACTGAAGGCCCCCAACATCAATGAATACCATTTGGGGGCTATGCTGAAACAACACAGAAACTTAACCCCTGGGTCCTATCGGCAAATGACAGTTGGACTACTCATTGAACACCAGAGTGACAAAGGTAGTGTGTCCTCATCCTTGCCTTGTCCTCCCCCCAAATCAAATATAAACGCTGCTCAGACTGGTACCTACATTTCCCTGTGTGTCCTCCTTCTCTGGAGCATTCCCAACTCAGGCAGGGCTGACCAGAATCAGGGCTGTATTTATAGGACTAAACTGATTGCTCTGGAGACTGAGCAGGGGCCACTCACCTCTTCCTGGATCACCACCAGTTACCTAGCCAGTCACCTGCCCCTGCTGTTGAGATGACCCTGCCTTTAAGGATAAGGAGTTGCCTAGGACCCACGTGTAAGACCTTCAGGTGCCTTCATCCCATCTTCCTCACCCATCCACCGAGATAAACAGTGCAGATCTTAGACTGAGACCTTGCAGAATCCAAAAGGTTAAAAGGAATAATAAAGGAAACTGCCAATTGTAAGTGAATTATATTTGGCTCTGAAAGCTGAGGCACAGGCTATATTATAAAAGGCATCTCTTTGCGTTGTTTACCATCACCCTGAC